ACACAGGCAAACAAAAACAGGTTCTTCCCACATTGGGGACGACACGTGTCCTTTACCCTCATCATCCTGGCAACATTCTGCAGGTTTCCTTTAGATTTCCTTCACATCAGGAACGATGGGATTTGGCACCAGTGTGACAACCATTCAGCATTTGCTGATTCCTAGTGAGGCCAGGGACATTCTGGGCGCCATGGAGCATGGGAGGACGGTGGCAGGGCCTCATCCTTCAGGGGCCTGGAGTCTATTCCAGGATAATCTGCAAAACTGAATCCATGTCTCGAAAGTTTCAAGAGTATTACCTGTAGACATCTGTACTATCAGCTACATTTGCAAAGGTGTTATAAAATTAGAAAAATTTCCATTCTCAGACTTGACTGTTATAATAAAATGTTCTCTAATAATAATTATTTCATAATGTTCTGTAATGTTGTATTTTTATAATTATAAAATATTTGGCACAGTTTTCACAGGGTGCCCTTCACTTTTGAAGCGGCACAGGTTTTGCTTATTTGATATTTGTAAAAAATATATTATTTTGACCTGGAAATTTAAGTATATAGTGAGGAAAGCCATTCTAAGATACAGAGCTATTGAAAAGGCTTTGTTAAAAACTTGTGGTGGGGTCAAGTAAACCTCAGGAAAAGTAACTGTTGTCCAATTTAATTGTGAACATCCTACTTCTATTACTCGTGATTACACCAATGCCTGAAGATTAAACTCGTCTAGAGAAAGAAGGGTCTCTTAAAGCCCCAGAGAGGGAGCCAAGGCGTGACCTGTGCTCTTTGTCAGAACTCAGCTTTCTGCACCGGGGGTAAGAAGTCAGGGTGCATTTGGGACTTGCAGACACACCAGCCCCAGTCAACTGAGCACCCTCATTTTGCCGCAGTTGCCACCACTCTGTCACTGCATTCGTAATCACTTGCTAATGGGAGCAGCAGCAGCAACTGAGATGTGCACTTAGCCGCTCTGTTTACAGGAGGTCCCCGTGGCCCGGATGCATGCTTTCCTCTGGGTTTGGTTCCAAAGGCCTCCAAGTACACAAGGAAACCTGCTGGGTATTGTGAAATAAACCATCAAAAGAGAACTTGCTGAAAATTCTGCAGGAGTCTCTGCCCTCATGTCAGGGAAGGGAGAGTGGGCTGGCAGAATACTAAACTTGCTGCTCGAAGATGATCAAAGCCTCAAGGAAATGGATGCAACATTCAAAGAGACTCAGAGAGAAAAGGAGGAGAATGTCTTCTAATCATCTAACGACTTATTTTTGGCACAGTTTTTACCCAATCACCTTCCATAGAAATAGGACACCTACATGAAAAAAAAATGCATAAAGTATACTGGTACCAAAAATCACAATTCTTCTGTGTCTTCACATTATCCTTAGTGTGTGTGTGTGTGTACATGTGTGTATAAATATATATATACACACACACATATATGCATATATGGCAGGCTATGTCAATTTGAAAAAAAAGAATAAAAGTCAAAACTCGTTTTTCAGATCATGAAGTATAGAATTAATCCAAATATATCATGTTTTATCTATTTAGAAGAAAAATCAACATTTACTAAAACAATGGGGAGAAGTTCGGAGGGAGCAGTCTGTTCAGAATATGTTTCAGTTATTCTGAAAGTTAATATCCCCAATTTTTGCTCCAGTCTGAGCAAATTAAACTTGGCTGGATAATCTGATGGGGCTGATATCTTGGTGTCAAAAATATGAGAGTCTGTCAAAAAAGATTTGCTTTCCCAATAGGTAAGGCAAACAAAAATATCACACACTCATGTAAACGAAAGAAGCTCTAAAATCCTGACCCTGTCCGTGAAATAGTTCTATTTTGAGGAAGGACAGGTAAACACGTTTAAAGGTGTTTGCATTAGAAGCTAAGAATTCAACCTCCTTACTGCTTCAGCCCTGTTTTAAGAAAAGCTCTTACTCCCGAGGAGCACAACGTGGCCCCTGTGGCCCCAAGCCCGGGCTCTGACTCACACACATGGGGGCCCGGAGGGGCTGCACAGGCACTCATGATGTACGTGCATGATCCGGGCTGAGGCAAACAAATGCTTTGTCAGAGGCTGGCAACATGAGGGCCTCCCAGGTCATGCTGGAAGTGCCTTGCCAGGACACTAACCCGGCTGCCGTTTAACGGAGGACACGAGGATTCACCTTTTGGAACCCCAGGGAGGAAGGAGCTCTACAACCTGAGGTCACCAGTGCCCCCTGGGATACCACCTCCACACACCCGTCTCCTCCACCCCATCGGAACGTCTCTGCTCCTGACCTTCCTTCCCCAGGTAAGAACACAAGTTCTTTTGTTTAAAGGGTAACTTCATATTCTGATATTAATAAAACTTATGCTATTGCCACCTACCATTCTCTTGCTCCTAGGTTACTTACTTCTAACCTCACTTGCACAATAATCTTTTTATTTTTCAGAAGCTTTAAGAAAAGGAATTGAGTAATTCCATCATGTCCCCATAAAATAAAGCATAAGATCAAATTGTTCCATTTTCCTTGTAACCCAGTGATGAGAATTATCATCCATAACCTCACTGTGATTATAGAATCAGCAAAGTACACAGGTTCAGTGAGCCAGAAATAAACACATTAATGCAAGACGACACCTTTCCTGAAATTTGTTTTATGTTTGCAATATTTTAAAAAACTTTTCAAACAGATTTTTACACTTCACGGGGGACTCATGGCTGTGATAGAAAACCCAAGTGGGATATGGAAACATTAATGAATTAATACCTGCTTCATTTACCAAAGTAAATATCCTCTCCTTGTAACCGCAATTGTCTGAGTCCTTGAAACATTACTCAGCTAAATTCAAAGCGAACAATCATACAGTCCCCATCCTCATTACTGAGTCCTGCTCTGCCAAAACACAAATCACAACAACACAACGGTTCAGCACCTAGAACTTTCTACCAGGAGACAATCCACTGTGATGGGGCAAACCCCCACTTTAATCAAAGTACTTCCCTAAAGGGTATTTTCTAGTGATTTCAAAGCTAAACCAACCAGAGAGTCTTTATACTCATTTCATTTCCAAATTTTCCTAGATCACATTTTTAAAGAAAAAAAGTTTTTTTTTTTCCTTTTTATTAATCTGGATTGAAGAAAAGCACACACTTCATTTATTGTCTGGATTACAGATTCTTATTAAACAAACCAGAGCTCATTATAAAATCAATATCAACTTAACCACCATGCCCTCAGGAGGAACAGCAAAAAGGTCACTCCAAGAAATTCAAACAATTTTCCTGCTGGAAGGGCATGATTTTAATTACAGATACTATTAATTAGAGCTGTCACCGGGAAGGCTTTTTTTTTTCTGTTAATTATCACAAACTCAGTCCTAAGTATGCATTTTCAACCTGCAGTTTTTTTTCAAATTAGTCATTTCTGCATGCAAGTCTAACCTTTCCATTCTATCAATATTTTATATTTGAATTTCAAAGTATATCAAAGGGTGCCACGCTTTCTAAAAATCTCTGCCTGTATGATCTTCCGTCTCTCACGCATGGAACAGAACTGGTGTGATAATTTATTTATGTACCGACACAGACTTGGCCTGAAGACCTGGCATCCACATTGAAGGTCTTGCTCAATGGAATTTCTGGATAAATTCTTACTAGTTTATGTGACATTTTTTTCAGGCTGCTTCTTCAAACATGATTTTCCTTCTGCTTTGAAGCAAAGCTACACACTGCAACTGAAATGCCATCCTCAACACATCTGAAGTTGCCATTTCTTTATAAGAAAAAGATCGTCCTGACCGGGCTGCTGACCCTCTCCAGAAAACTAGAGGCTTCCTCTATTCAATGGCAATCCCAGGAAGTTGGAAATGGGAGGAAAAGCTGTCTTGTGGCTCTTTTAAGCATAGAGATTGTGTAAATTCCTTATGTGGGGGAGGGTCCTGAGAGCTCACAGAGTATAGAAAAGCCAGCTCCAAGGAGCTCAGGAAGCAGGAGGGTTTGGTGCTGGCGGGCGCTTTGTGGAGAGAGGCGTGAGAGCCCACCCATGTAACTCTGATGATGGAATAATATTTACTTTACATACAACTGTAAAAATGATGAATTATTTACACGATGTATTGCACACTGTAATCATGTGACTAGAGAAAACAAAGGATCTAGTCCAATGAGGAAATCTTACATATGTACTGACCAAACTTTTAAAACAGTGGTTAAGGAGTCATTCTACCTTCCCAAATGGGAATATCTTCTTGGAATTAAATGATATTTTATATGCAAAGGAATCAATTGTCTTGACTGATGGAAGTATTCTGGGTTTGTAACGCCGTTTAAACTGAAGGCCTATATTCATTACAGGACAATACCAAATACGAAACGTGTGCTATAGAACTTTCAAAAACTCTGTGGTTATTTAAAATGCCCGACTTGGTCTGAACTTGCCTTCCTCGCATCCTCCCTGGTTTGCAGCTCATTTCCGGGGGTGTCTGTGGTGCCTCTAGAGAAGGTGTCCCTCATGGGGACATGCGTGGGTCACTTTCCCCTGGTCAGCATTAGGTACCACTGTACCGGACAACAACACAGGGTGGCAACTGGGCAGGTCAAAGGATCTTTTCACAGAAGACCCCGAGGAGGCCGATGGTTTTTGAGACATCTTCAAACACCTACACACCAACTGATCTTGCAACTCTGGCACTTTTCATTAGTAGTGGCCAAACTAAGATAACAGATAATACATCATTTGTGTATTGTACTTTTTCCACACCTCTAATTAACAACATACTTCCAGAGCGAACATGAGACTATCCAGGAAGAGCAGATGACTACAGAGCTGTACAACTGTGGCTGCTAGGTATTTGCACCAATGCTGATGAGAAGTTCCAAACTGTCATCATAAAAGACCCCAAACTATGATACATGAGCAACTGCTGGGAATGGAGGAGGGGCCAGAGAGGAATGCGATCATCTGCCTGTTCAACAGATAAATCCAATATATCACTTTTTAAAAAGTCTCCTCTTACCTGGTAGGCGGCGGTGGCATCTGCGCCCGGGTCGCGCCCTAGTCCTGAGAGCTTCTCCTTCAGTCTGTGCTGAGAGCTATGGCGTAGGCAGTAGATGAGGCCAGAGGCCAGGAGGACGCCCAGGATGCAGGCGAGGGAGACCAGGGTGAGCGCGATGAACTTGGTCGAGTCTTCTTGCTCTGCCTGAGGAGGCAGGAACTTGAGTTTGCTTTTCTGCAGAACAAGGAGAGAGGGGTCTGTTAGCTCCTGACAAAGCATGACCTCCTAAAAACACACGTCTCCAAATGCAACTTGAAAGTGGAAAGCTCAGCCCCACAGGACGCTGCGCTGGCACTGGAGCCACAATGGGAGGGCCCAGCGGAACACCCCCCGTCAGAGGAGAAGCAGAAGTCATTTGAAAATAGCACCTCGCAGATTGCAGCGTGCTCAAGAGGACAGTCAGAGGCATCACTTTTTCCCTCAGTGGTGGCTGGTTTTCAAATTTATGTAAAGTATTTGGCAGCTAATGTGCTGCCTTCAGTAAAATAAAGTATCCATCCCTTCTTCTAACCGGGCACAGCAGTTTGTCCAGAGCTTGCACAGTGATTGTCGGGGGTGCTGGGGGGAGGCCAGGCTAGGCGGCAGAGGAGGGTGGGCAGGCCTGCAGCCTGCCGTGGCTTCAAGTAGCCACACAAGCCCAGCACATCTTCAGCAACAAAGGAACGTGGGACTGGCTCTGCATCTTCACGAGAACGTTCTCCCTCCCGGGGTCAGGGGATTGAATCCACCTGTCTTGAAAGGCGAGCACTGGTCGAATCCCACCGGCTCCAGCCACTCTCCAGAAGTGGCCTGGCGCAGACCACAACACTTCGCACCTGCGTATTTTTCCTTGCAAGGAGCCTTTGGAACTTCACTTCCCAGGGAGGAAACCCCCCCAGATTCTCACTGCTTCTGGAGGGAGAGGGTAGTGCAGGTGAAAATATGAGAAAGTCCTTTCGGTGCATTTCACTTGTCTCCACGTGCAAAGAATTGCATGGCTCTCCCCTCATTAGCTTCATTAGAAGGTATATTAGCAACAATTAAGGACGCCACAGGAAAATGGGAAGGCCGCCCCGCAGACCGCGCGCCCTGCACAATGACTCGGGGAGTAAATGGGGGAGCACGCCCGGCCTCGGTCCTGGCTGCTACAAGATGAGAACAATTAGCAAACCCCTTTCCACCACCTAATTTCGCGTGGTAACAAAATGGATTTTTCCCCATGAATGCCTGGCCGGCCTATTCATTATCTCTCTTCTATTAGTAATTTTCTGCTCCGTATTCAGCCTCCCAACTCTTCATTTCCTCCCGTCTCCCAGCGTACACAGTGCCTCTTATGTCAGGCCGGGCCCGTTTTTATCTTGTAATCATAAAGGCCACCAAAGCAATTATCGCCGGTCTTGACTGGAAAAGCTGGTCATTAATTAGCCTCCTTTTGCCTTCGGTGCAGCGGATTAGCTGGTGCCGGGACTGAGTTAATGGAAACGCGGGTTAAATGAGAAAAGACGCCCGGATTTTCCTGCCTGGATGCGCGGCTCGGAGGAGGACCGCGAGGTTCGCGGGCGGCGGGAGGCGGTGGAGCCGCGGAGAGGGAGGGAGGGAAGGAAAGGGGGAGGGAGGGGGAGCGGGGAGGGTGAAGGGAGCAGGGAGTGGGGCTCAGGCATGGCAGGCTGCAGGTCCCAAGCTCTGCCCACGGAGAGGCAGCTGAGGCCCTGTGAGAATTCTAGTGAGGTATAGGCAGGCCGGCACTGCTGGGGGACCCCCACCCTGCACCCTCTGCAGCTGCTGGCCCAGGTGCTAAGTCCCTCACAGCCCTGGCTGGTCTGAGTACAAGGCGGGCTGAGCCTGCACCCACTGGGAACTCGCACTGGCCAGCAAGTGCTCCAGGCGCAGGCCCCGTTCCCGCCTGTGCCTCTCCCTCCACACCTCCCGGCAAGCAGAGAGCCTGCTCCGGCCTTGGCCAGCCCAGAGAGAGGCTCCTACAATGCAGCCGCGGGCTGAAAGGCTCCTCGAGCATGGCCAGAGTGGACGCCGGCCGAGGAGGTGCCTAGAGCGAGTGAGGGCCTAGAGGCTAGCATGTTGTCACCTCTTAGTTGTAGCTACTCAGAGGCTGAGATGGGACAATTTTTTGAATCAGGAGGCAGAGGTTGCAACTTGGGTGACAGAGCAAGATTGTCTTTAAAAAAAGAATTAAAAAAGCTACTGCTTAATATTTTTGCTGGTTTAATGAAAACCTCCAGGGTAGAGGCTAACCTCACTGGATCAGCACTGAGTCATATCAAATAAAACCAATCCTTGTTAGTGGAATTTTCAAGGCTACTGCAAAACAGAGAAAATAATAAAAATAATGACAGTTAATTGGGAATGAGGCATTGGAGGAGCTCCAACCCAGTTTTGTTTTGTTTTGTTTTGTTTTCCCTGTTGCCGCTAACATGCTGGTTGTAAATGCAATTGTGAGACCCTCAGTTTTCAAAGCCACAATGGAATTAGGGATGGGGTGGTAATAGGGCAAGCTATAATGTCACGAAGTTGCTATTCTTACTGAGATTCAGCCACCTTCATGAGGAAATGCTCCCCGGGTTATGGAAGCTTGCATTGAAATCCCATAGTTCTGAAAAAGTCGATGTTGACATTTTTTGCCATCATTTTCTTTGTTTAATGAAGGACAGGACTTCCAGAGGTTCTTGGTCTTCCATTCTAGCTGATGTCTTCCATATGCATTTTAAACGATGATCAAAATCAGTCGTAATAATCAACAAATAGGACAAATTGACCTTTCCAGATAGTCATGTGAGGCAACAGTTTCCACTTGTAGGTACTATTACAGCGGAAAGGCAGGGCCATAAAAGAAACCAGAATCCCTCTTCCTTGCAATGCTAGAGTTACATTTGTACCCTGAGCACAGCTTCAACTTGATAAGAAACTTTAAATTGCAAAAGATAAGATTAGGTGTCTACTTTAAAAACTTTATTGGCTACTTATTTACTTTCTATACGCAGTTTAGAGTTATGTGTCAAGTTCCATAAACATTCCTACAATGGTTTTGAGTGAGATGCACTGAATTCCTAGATTAATTTGATGAGAACTAATCTATTTGCAATATTAAGATTTTCCATCCATGGACGTTTTATATCTTTCATATATACAGTTTTTAAATGTCTCTTAGTAAAGTTTTATAGTTATCTTTATACATTTTTTGTATATTTCTTTTTAGATTTAGTTGTAGGTCCATACAGTTATTGTACCTGTTGTGAATATTTTAAAAATCAACTATATTTTTTGTTGTTAGTGTTGGTTTTGGGCTGCTGATCTATTATCTAATAGATCTTGTAGATGCTGATTTACTAGATGTCTACTTTTTGAATTTCATTATAAGTGCTAATACTGTTTTTCTAGTTTTTCTAAGGCTTAGTGAAATTATTACATTTTAAAAAATCAGTGACAGCTTTACCTCTTACTTTAAAATCTGTATGATTCCAATTTACTTTTTGAATTTAAAACAATGTTAAAAATTGTGGCGATCATGGCATCCTGAACTGTTTTCCTATTGTAAAGTTTTGTTGTTAAGGTATGTTACTTTTTGTATATAGTTTTTATCAGTCTAAGGAAGTATCTTTATATTACAAATAACTTTTTAAATGAATAAATGTTAAGCTTTGTCTTTCTCAGAATCTGTAA